TGTTGTCTTTCATACTTTAATAAATATCCCATAGAGAACACATAGGTATATAAAAATATGCATCAGCATCATATTTACACTTTCTTGACCACATTTTAACCTCTATGAGTCTTCTAGAAAATATTCAATTGTGGTTTATCACTTAAGTGGTATCTGTAGACACTGTTAATTAAGACTTTTTATTTTCTTGCAGTGTTTTGAAATACTCCAGAACTATTTGATATCCCTATATGATAACTCAAAAAATGAATTAATTACATAAGTACCACAAAGGCAAACTTTATATGGAAAATGGGTACTTTTCCTTTGTTTTGGAGGATAATGATTAGAAAAATCACAAAATGAATTTTAACACAAGGAAACAATTTTTTTTTGTAGAGTGGTGTTATTAGACCGGAAGATTTACGTAACGTTCTTATAACCATTGAAATCTTTGATACACGATTGACGATTACTCAGATATTTTTGCTCTCTTGAACATAACGTTAACGATTTATTTTTGTGATTTGCCGTTTATATCGACAACTCGTGTCGATCAAAATTTTGCTTTTACTTTCTGACATAACTTGGATTATTGTTGTTCGTTAAGATTAATTATGGTTTTTAGTATACGAGCTGCTCGACGTGTTTTTGTGTTTTATCTGATTGCAAATTATTGGCAGACAGCACCCTTCGGAGCTCGGAAGATGCTGCGGCTACGATTCAAATGTAAAATATTTTAATTTCGTCGATATTCCGTGGGCTACCTAACATTTGTGTACTTTGGCTTCCATAATCCAGCACTCCTTTCCGACACCTTCTCATTTCCTCCCGTGACAACGTAGCGTACGTCCACTCCCTGTCTGTGAACAATAAATCTTCTTCCAATATTATTCAGTGATTGTCTCAAACTAAACATTGCATTACGAGATTCGAACATTATAGTGAGTAGGTCAATTCGGATCTCCCCCAGCGTCTTCTATCCTTCGGCTGGGATGCCACGCGGCACTTGTTTAGATACCAAGTAAAAATAAATAAAACCTTCAAAATGAACCGCCTGGAGCAAATGTTCCATGCAGCAAAGGAAAGAAAATCAGGTTTTTTTTTAATTTATTAGAACAACAATCTCCAAACGTGTGAACAAATTCGAACAATGTGCATCTTTAATCCACACTTCAGTGTAAGGTATAATTAATACTGGACGATTTTAAAACTTGTGTAATGTAAATTCCAAAACAAACACTATGACTGAAAGAACTAATCCTATTCCAAAACCGGCAAACGCGAAACATAGATGGCCTAACGACAATGGAACCCTTTCGTTATCCGTTCCCACTTCGGTATTGTAAAATTCATGTTCGTAATCGCGACAGTGTTTCGGCCCAATTCCCGATTCCCCCATCGTACTCATGAAGTAACGTAGGTTGGTGATGAAGTAATGATTTCGAAGAATCTTGTACCTTACTTGCATTGTTTCCCTAAGAGCACCGTCTTCGATTCTAAACGCAGTAATTTTTTGTTGCAATTTACGTTCAATATAGAACACATCCTCCCTAGTTGACGTAACCGAGTAATTACGGTGGATATTCAAATTCAGAAGAAGATCATAGTACTTTTCTTTAGTGCAATCAAACAGGACAAACAAGCGTTTGGCCTTTTCGAAAATTTTATTTCCAGTGAGGTGCACGTTCTCTAATTCGTCGCGGCAAACATAAAGGCTCAGATTAGATTCCACCAGTTGTTGTAGGTTACTAATTTGAAACTCGTATTGGGGGGTTGTTAAAATATCCACCAGTTTCGCTGAAAATCCGCAAGTAATGTGCATTATATAGATCAAGTAGGTTAAGAGTATGCAACGCAATGCGAAGCGTGTAGGCTGATGTGCAAGGGAGCCTTGGAATGTAAGAGAACTCACGTTGGTCATAGCAGTCGCCAAGTTGCTTACTGCGAATCGTCGACTGCTACACGACAGAGCCAACCACCAGCTAAACATTACAATGAAAAATATGCCCAGAATTGAATACCAAACTTCTGGCTTAAAGGTGACAAAAATAGCTAACATGGCTGGTATTCGATGTGCTTTTGGTACTACCCATATCGATTCACCTTGCGCTATTGGAGTACTTACATAGAAACGACGAGTGATGCGTCCGATGTATGAACTCATGATAATTTGTGATTCATGGTTGCGCTTGCGTGTAT